CTGCATTTTTCCCAAAATGCTGCTCTCGCTGAGGCGCCGGCATCATTTTCGGGCCCCGCTCGTTCCGAATCGTGCTCCCGCTGCAGCGCTGGCATCATTTCCGCCGGCGCCCGGGCTGCACGCCCGAGCCGGCGCCCGGGCCGGCGCTCGGGCCGGGTTCGGAGCCGGTTCCGGCCGGCGCCGGAAAATCGAGTTCCGAGGCGGCGCCGAAAAAAGGCCATTCTAATACACATTTTTCTCTTGAAAATGCTGAGTTTCTGCTTCCGGCGCCTGGGGGGCCTCCCGGGCCGATTCCGACGCCCAGGCCGGCGCCCGAGCCGGCGCCCGGGCCGGACGCCCGAGCCGGCGCCCAGGCCCGCCCAGGCCGGGTCCGGAGCCGGTTCCGGCCGGCGCCAGAAAATCGAGTTCCGAGGCGGCGCCGAAAAGGCCATTCCAATACAATTTTTTCTTTCGAAAATGCTGAATTTCTGCTTCCGGCGCCCGGGAAGCCTTCCCCGGAGTTAGGTTTTCGCTTGCATTTTTTCCCAAAATGCTGCTCTCGCTGAGGTGCCGGCTTCATTTTCGGGCCCCGCTCGTTCCGAATCGTGCTCTCGCTGCAGCGCTGGCCTCATTTCCGTGCTTCCGCTCGTTCCGAATCGTGCTCCCGCTGCAGCGCTGGCCTCATTTCCGCGCTTCTGCTCGTTTCGACTCGTGCTCCCGCTGCAGCGCTGGCGTCATTTCCCGTGCCATGCCACGGCATGCAATGCAATGCTAGGTTGATACTACGCTTCGCGGTGCTCTTCTACGCCATGCCACGCCGTGCTCTACAATGCATCGCGTACCCTTTCGGGATCATCGCCCTGCTCGACATCCGACTGTGCGAGTAGAGAGGGGATCTGCGCCATGGTAAGGGATGGGAGGGAGGGGTAGGATGTCAGATATGACGCGAGCGCACCTAGCTTGTCCTCTTCCCCTCCCCCTCTCCGTCTCCCCATCTCCCTACTCCTCCGTCATCCTCCTCCTCCTCCTCCTCCTCTACTCCTCTCCTCCTCCTCATCCTCGCCCTCCTCCTTCCGTCCCCTCCCCTCCCTCTTCCTCCTCCTCCTCCTACTCCTCCTCCTCCTCCTCCTCCTCCTCCTCCTCCTCTCTCCTCCTCCTCCCCTCCCCCTTCCCTCCCCCTCCCCCCTAACCCCCCACCCCTCCTTATCCTCCTCCTCCTTCTCCTCCTCCCCTCATCCCCCCCCTCCCTCCTCTCTGACCTCCCTCCTCCTCCTCCTCCTCCTCCTCCTCCTCCTCCTCCTCCTCCTCCTCCTCCTCTCCTACCCTTCCCCCTTCCCCTCCCCCTCCCCCTTCCCCTCCCCCTCCCCGCCCTACCCCGCTCCTTCGCCCGCAGCGCGCGTAGGCACAAGGGCCCCGCGCGCCCGAGGTCCCCGGCGCCCTCCAGCAGCCCCGCCAACCGCTCGACCAGAGCCGCCGTGCCAGGGTGGCTCGGTCCCCGGACGACCTCGCCGGGAGGGAGGGAAAAAGGAATTCGAGGATCGGGGCTCGAGGTTTCTGAAGCGCCTGTAGGCTAGGCGACGTCATGGCAGGATCCGCCCCGAGATTCTGGCCAGAACGCACCCCGCCCGAGGAGAGGTCCGAGGTCGATTTCTGAGGAGGAGGAGGAAGAGGAGGAGGAGGAGGAGGAGGAAGAGGAGGAGGAGGACGACCAATCGTAAACCCAAGACTCATCAACGATGCTGGAGTATGTACACCCTCCCTCCAAGCTCCCTCTTCATAGGCCCCTACACAAGTTCCCAGAGGGAAGTGCATCGTTGGGGGACAACCATGCGAAATTCCTGAAGCGTGCCAAAACACCATTCTCAGGATTTCAACTCCACAAATCAGGCTGACAGTTGCGTATTGACGGTCCTGAACCGTGCCAAGACGTTACTCCTGGGACTTCCACACCGCGAATCAACGTTACTGTTGCGCCCTGACCGTCCTGAATCGCTCCAAAACGCCCATTCTGGAACTTTAGCCGCGAGAACCAATGAAACTCTTGCAGAGTTTTTCAACGAATGTGCGCGGCGCTAACGCGTAGAATCGTCAAGGCGCAACAGTCATGTTGATTCGTGTCGTTGGAGTCCCGAGAATCGTGTATGGGCACACCTCAGGGTCTTCAAACGGTTCGCTCACAACGAGGCAGTTCCCACAGTGGAAATGAACCCTTGCAGGGGCCTGTGAAGAGGGAACCTGGAGGGAGGGTTTATTCCAACATCGTTGATGAGACTTGGGTTTCCACTGGTATCCTCCTCCTTCTCCTCCTCCTCCTCCTCCTCCTCCTCCTCCTCCTCCTCCTCCTCCTCCTCCTCCCCCACCCCCTCCCCCTCCCCCTCCCCCCCCCCTCCTCATCCTCCTCCTCCTTCTCCTCCTCCTTCTCCTCGTCCTCCTCCCTCCTGCTCATCTCCTCCTTCTCCTCCTCCTCCTCCTCCGCCTCCTCCTTCTTCTCCTCCTCTTCTTCCTCCTCCTCCTCCACAATTACTCAATATGAATATACTCTCCCTCTTCCCCTGATGGCGTCCGGGTGATAGCCGCGCACCCTCCGCGTACTGTTTTTTAACACACAGGATGCCCGGGAAATCCCGGGAAACGACACTCGCTGAGACGCCGGCGTCATTTTTTCCCAAAATGATGCTTTCGCGCCGGCGTCATTTTTTCCCAAAATGCTGCTCTCGTTGAGGCGCCGGCCTCATTTCTGCTCCCGGATCCTTCCCCTGATGGCGTCCGGGTGATAGCCGCGCATCCTCCGCGTACTGTTTCTTAACACACAGGATGCCTGGGAAATCCCGGGAAACGACTCTCGCTGAGGCGCCAGCGTCATTTTTTCCCAAAATGCTGCTCTCGTTGAGGCGCCGGCCTCATTTCTGCTCCCGAATCGTTCCGAATCGTGCTCCCGCTGCAGCGTGGGCCTCATTTTCGGATCGGTGTTTGGCCTCCGTCGTTCAGGATGGCGTTCTCGCCCCAGCGCGGGCCTTTTTTCTCGCGCGCCCATCCGCCCGCCACCACCGCGCCGCACCGCCACCACCACCACCACCACCACCACCACCACCACAACCACCACCAGCACCAGCACCAGTACCAACACCACCAGCACCACCACCACCACCACCACCACCACCACCACCACCACCACCACCACCACCACCACCACCACCACGACAACCACGCACACACGCACGCACGCACGCACGCGCACCACCACCCACTACGCACGCGCGCGCGAAGCCACAGGTCCGCTACGACACGCGTCCGCGGATAGAGAAAATCAGCGCCATGGTAAGGGATGGGAGGGAGGGGTAGGACGTCAGATATGACGCGAGCGCACCTAGCTTGTCCTCTCCCCCTCCCCCTCCTCCTCTCACTCTCCCCCTCCTCCTCTCACTCTCTCCTCCCTCCTCATCTCTCCTTTCTCCTACTTCGCCCCGTCCGCCTCCCGCTCGCTTCGGGGCCACCCGGGGGTCCCCTCGCGGGGCGGGGTGCGCCTCGAGGAGTCCCGCGTGACGGGTGCGGCGAAACTTCCTGGCGCGACCACGCATGACTACATGGCGGCCTCACGCAGCGGTTTGTGGCGTCCAAAACCTGGATAGCAGGGCAGCACTAGTGGACATCAGATGGGCGCACGATGGTCCAAGACAGCCTCGCGAGGGATCCGACAGGAGGCCAAGAAAGCCCGAACTTGCTCCAAGAGTGTTCCAGGAGAACCCCGAAGCCCTCTGAATGCCCAGGGAAGCCCCAAGAGACCTCGAGAAGCCTCAGGAGGTTCTTTGGTGGCGACATCCGAACCCTACCACCACCAACCATCGATGCTCCTGAATCGATGGGAGGCAGGGGTAGGGTTCCGATTTCGCCACGTGCTCGACGAATTCCGAGGCCTCCCCCCGCTGCCCATCGAGGTGCCCGAATTGTTGATCGGGCAGGGTAGGCTTCGGGCTTCGCCGCAGAGACTTTCGAGAGCACGCAGAAGGCACCGAATGAGCTCCACGAGGGCCCGACCTGCTTGCAAGAGGGCCTCATGGGGCCCAGCGGGGGAGCCCCAAGAAGCAGCAAGACAGTCTCGAGAGCGCTCCAAGACAGCCACAGGAGGGCCCGAGAGCTCACCGGAGGAGCTCCGGCGCAGTGGCGAAAACGTGGCTCCCCGGGTGCCAGCCTGGCCACCTCACCACAGTCACCGAGGAGAATGCGTTCCCGACTCTGGCGGGCGCCCCCGCCCAGGGCGGTTCAAAGCCTCGAGCCATTTGCGGGTGGGCTGCTGACAGGGTTCCCGGAGCCGTCTTATGCTGCTCACAGCAAAATGCGCGCAGTAAGAACAAAAAAGCACCCTATTGAGAATCCATTTCACGTGGGACTCATAACACGGGAATGAGACGATGGATCAGTATCGCTAGCTCACAGGAGGAGGGGGAGGCGAGGGGAGGGGGCGCTGTGGGCCCTCAGGTCTTCCGACACACTCCCACACTCAACGGATCACTGTGGAGTAACCACCTCGCCTCACATCGCCTACGGGCGACAGCGGGGAAAGCATGGACACGCCTCGCCATCGATCTACTCGTCGACTGCCTTCCCCCGCGCGGGCTGCGCACGACATGCGGGGGGGGAACTACCGCCACCCCAGAACTCCCCCAATCCTCACGGGCATCTGGGATCTGGGCGGAGGGGGCATCCGAGCGAATGGCCACAATGCTACAACGATGCAGCGTGGGCCAGTGGCATGCGCAGAGGGCGGGCTTGGAGAGGGTAAATTCGGCAAGGCGACGAAGGGCAAGGTGGAGAGCAAGGGCCACGACCTCCGAGGCTTCCAACGCCCGCGTCACCACTGGGATGGCGTCACGGCTCCTGGCACAAGCTCTGGGGTCGAGGCAATTGGTGAAGACACATGTTGGAATAAGGGGAGGGCGCGCGCAGGCGTGAGGAGAAAACAGAGGGATGACCAGCATGGACATTGAGAAGGGAGGCGGTCGAGAAGAAGGATGGGGATGGATGGACTGTCGCTTGGTGCAAGCGACCTCCACAGGCTCACGCTATGGTGACCTCACGCCAGATTCGGCGGTTTAAAGATGGGGCCCGAAGGGATGGAGGACTGAGGATAGGGAGGGGTCCCAGGTTGAATCTGCATTGTCTGAGGCCCCTCGTTAAGACGAGGCCAGGGCAAGGATAGATTCAGGTGAAGATATAATCGAGAATCTCTAAGATCTGGCGGCGCTGCAGCATGTATCGGGCGCCGCGGCCTTCTCCGAGCGCTCCAGAACGCTCGGAGAGTGTTCCAGAGAACGCTCTGGAATAGATTTATCCTCGTCCTAGCCCCGTCCGACTCGTCCTCAGGGCCCCATCCCTCAGGGCCCCATCCTTGAACCACCGGCAGATCTGGGCAGCCCACGAAACACGCGATCCCCTCACGTCCGACGTTGCAGCAACAATTCCAGCATCGCAAACAATCGCGACCAGCCCCAGATCCCATCTTTCCGGGTCATCTTTCGAGCCGGATCGATCTTTGAGGGCCCAGGGTCCCGAAAAATCGGGCGAAGACGCCCGCTGGGAGAAAAGTTTGCGACGCTGAGATCTGGAGGTCCTCGGCGGTCCGCCCCCCCACGCCTGCCGAACCATCCGAAAACATCCGGGATAGGGCTGCCGTCGTGCACATGGCCAGCCCTCCGCGGCGGGCATGGCAGGCCATCTTGGGCCGCCAGGCCCCCGAGGTAGGGCCCGGGGGAAGCCTCGGCGCGAGAGCGGCCGAGGAGCGGCGCCAGAAGCAGCCGCCGGGGGTTCGAGGCCGCCGCTGCCTCGAGGTCCGACGGCGACGACGACCATGACCATCTTCACAACTTTCGCGTTCGATCATGGGCCCCTCGCAACGCATCTTAGCCTCGAAAGACCACCGAAAGACCGCCGAGGACCGCCAGCGAGCGCGCGCCCCGCCGCGGGCGCTGGGGCCCGACGCGGTCTTCGGCAGCCTTTTGGCGGTCTTCGGCAGTCTTCGGCGGTCTTCGGCAGTCTTTCGGTGGTCTTCGGCGGTCTTTCGGGGGTATTCGGTGTGAAAGCCGGATATTTCGCGTTAACAAGGGGTCACTGATCGAACACGTAACACAACCACCCTCACCACCGCGACGACGACGACGACGAAGACGGCGGCGGCAACGACGACGGCGGCAGCAACGACGACGGCCCTCACCACGTCGGCGACAGCGACGACCGAGCGACCCGACCTGGCCACCGCGTGGTGGAGCGGAAAATACAGCCAGAGCCGTCGGCCCCGTCCTTGTGAATCCTTCTGCAGGGTCCAGGTCGGTCAGTAAGGGCCCCGCGGGTCCAAAATGGGGCACAAATGCCCGTCGAAATGTTCTCAAATCCCCCAGATATGGCGGTGAACTCGACAACTAGAGCTAAATATACGGTGCGCATACATACATACACACATATATGTATACAAACGTATACATACACATGCGTTTACATTTACATATTCACGAACGCGTGATAATGAAAAAATCCAAAGGCTACTTGAACACAATGCCAAAGATTACCGCGAAGCTCGAGCCCATCTTGAAATCGTGGAAAACGATGACAAGGGGGACGACATACCATTAGCACCGCAATCAGCCAGGTGATCAGCACGGTCATTTACTATGGCACCGTTGTGAGAAACAACCTTGGTCCACGTAATATGATGATCGGTGCTGTCAAGGATCTGCCGCGTCCTCAAGACAAGAGTCAAGTTTTATATGTAAACTCGCTTACACCCCGAAGAATGTGTTTCTATAGAAACACGTGGCGCAATATATATATATATATATATATATATATATATATATATACATACATATATATAGTGTGTGTGTAACAATTGGACAATTGTGGTGGCACTTATGTTGTGCAACATCTGTTGTGCAATCTATGTGTTGCAATCCACAAGTGCTGAACTTGAAATTGTCCACTCCACAGCTCGCGCAAACATCCCACCCACCCACCTGCAACCTGGCTCGCAAACCCCATGTGGAGGCGATTGCGATGAGTGCTTGGCGCTGGCTGGTGCATTTTTGCGGCCGCGATAGCCCGCGCATGCGTGCGCGCGCAGCGGCCAGCTGGTTTGGCGCGACCGACGCAGCCGCAGCGGTCCTGACCGCTGGGCACATCCCAGCGGGCACTTCAGTGCGAGTCGGCGGCATGAGCGGGCGCGGTATCATGGCAACGTCGACAACGGTAGACACGGCGATGATAGTAGCGATGCCGGCGACGATGCTGACAGCGACGACGGCACGGCCAGTGACGGCGAAGATGCTGATCGCCCCGGCGACGATGACGGCGTCCTCGCGTCGGTGATACAAGTTGTGGAAAGAGTTCGACATGCGCGCGCGGCCGACGCGCGAGAGTGACCCGCATGGTATTATTTGGCACGGATCGTGCCTCCCCCAGCACGCGCGCAAGTGCGTTCGAATGATTTCGGCATCTGGTTTTCTTAAAAAGTCGCAAGAGCTTGAACGCATTTTTTTTTCTGAAAACTGACGATCAAAGCCATGTGTCGTTACATTTGTTTTGGACATTCGGTTCTGGAATCGCTATGAAACCGAAGTTTTGTGACGGATTCCCGCATTCGCGCGCGACGACGCGCGCGCGCACTTCGTCCCATTGTTTGCAAAGAATTCTCGCGACGGCACGTGCGCAAAGGTGTTCGAACGATTTCGACATGCGCGCGCGAAGCCCGTTTGGTAGCATTCTCTGAAAATGATGAAAAACCGATGGTTTCCTTAAGAAGTCGCAAAATTGCGCGCGCAAGATTTGTTCGCAAATCCGTGTTGCGAACCAAGTGTTTTCAGATGTTTTTTTTGATATTCGATCTTGAAGCCATTACGAAGCCGAGAATTTTCACAGGATTGCGGCATACGCGCGCGAAAACGCGCGCGCGCGCACTTCGTCTCATTTTTTTGCAAGGTGCTCCTGACGACTGATGATTCTTGATAAACGGGTGTGTGCGCACAGTGAATTTTGTACAGGATGGCGGGGGGGGGGGCCGATACCGGCCCCTTCTGGGATGGTGTAAATTCAAGTATAGGATGGACGATGGGGCAGAATCATATGTAAATTGCAATACGAGAAGGGCATGGGACAATCCCGAGAGGGGAGGGGGGGGTAGATTCGAGTCTTTTGCAGAAAGGAGAATCAACGTGGTGCAACATACGTTGTACACTTCATACACATATGTAATGTGCGTGCGAATGGAAATTATGGTGCGCTACTTATGTTGTGCACAACATAGATTGCACATTTACGTTGTGCACTCTGTGGGCGAACATATGTGACGCAATGCGTACATATCTATATACATGTGTGTAGTGCGCAAGATAGGTCGTACAATCTATGTAGCGTGCAATCAATATGGTGCAGCCTGCGTGGTGCAACTCACTTGTGGCACTCGCAATTATCGAAACCCACCGCTAGCGCAATCGTCCCACCCACCCGCCCGCAACGTGTTTTGCAACACACATGCGGCGGCGATTGCGATGAGTGCTAGGTGTTGGCTGATGCATCTTCGCGGCCGCGATAGCCCGCGCATGCTCGCGCACGCAGCGGCCAGCTAGCTCGGCGCAGCCGACGCGGACGCGGTGGCGCTGACCTCTCGGCACATCCCAGCGGGCACTTCAGTGCGAGTCGTCCACTTTGGCGAGCGCGGTATCATGACAACGTCGACAACGGTAGGAACGATGATGATAGTAGCGACGCTGGCGACAATGATGACAACGGCGACGGCACGGCCAGTGACGGCGCAGATGCTGATCGCGCCGACGACGATGACGGCGTCCTCGCGTCGGTGATGAAGGTTTTGGGAGGAGTTCGACATGCTCACACGGCCGACGCGCGAAAGTGGCCTGCATAGTCTGATTTGACACGGATCGTGCCCCCCAGCACGCGCGCAAGGGCGTCCGAATGATGTTGGCATGCGGCGCGAAAGGCCCGCTTGGCCGAACTCAATGGAAATTATGAAAATCCGATGTCTTTTAAGAGGGTTCGCAGAAGCGCGAGCGCAATCATTTTGAAAACTGATGTTGCAACACCGTGTGTTGTTTATATGTGTTCGGGGCACCCGATTTGGAAAACTCTGAAGAAACGAAAAGTCATCGAAGAATTTCGGCAAACGCGCGCGACGACGCGCGCGTGTGCACTTCGCCCCATCTGCTGCACAATATGATTTAAATATTGTGATTGTTGATAAACGAATGCACGCGCATAATATCTGCTGCAGAGGATGAGGGGCGAACCGTTATTGGTTTGGCTGGGGTGGTATGAGCTTATAGTTCGGATGGGCGACGGGGCAGAACCATGTGCACATGGCAACACGAGAAGGGGGCGGTTAAATCCCGGAGGGGGGAGATCCTAATACTCTTCTAGAAAACGAGAACCTAGTTGGTGCAAGCAATGGTATGCAACCCATGGTGCGGAACAGTGCAGGGCAAGGTCAAGCAATTCTAAGTACGTCATGCCACTACAAAACAATTCACAGCAATGCCAAGCAGTGCAACGCAATGTGATTGCAACGCTGTGCGATTGCAATGGAATGCAATGCATTGCAAACAACGCATGCAAAGATATGCAAAGTGATGCAAAGCGGTGCACATCAAAGCAATTATGTGCAAAGCCGAGACATGAAAAGCACAACATAGCAATGCAAATCAAGCCAAAGCAATGCAAACCCATACATAGCAATGCGGAGCAATGCAATGGCACGGTATAGCAAGGCAAAACAATGCAGAACAATGCAACGCAATGAAACGCTGTGCAAGGTAATGCAAGGCAATGCACGGCAAAGCGAGGCAATGCGACGCAATACAACGCAGTGCAAAGCAATGCAAATCTATGTAAAGCAACGCAAAGCACTGCAAAGCAATGCACCACAATACAAATCGATGGAATGCCTCGCAAAGCAAATCTATGCATAGCAAGGCAACCCGTCGCAATGCAAAGCAATGCAAGGCAAACTAAGGCAACGCAATGCAAAGCACTGCAAAACAATACAAATCACTGCAAGGCACTGCAACGCAATGTGAAGCAACGCAGTGTGAAGCATGGCAAAGCAAAGCAACGCAATGCAAAGCAAGACGCGACGCCTAACACAGCAAAGCAACGCAACACAATGCAATGCAACGCGAAGCAGCGCAATCCACGGTGAAGAATGCAACGCAATACAAAACAAAACAATGCAAACCAATGCCAAGCAATGCAAAGCAATGCACCGCAATGCAAGTCAACGCACAGCAATCGGTGTTGCGCATTGTAGCAGCGGCGACGAGCGGCAACGGCGGCGACGGGAGGGCGACGGCGGCAACACAGCCGCCAGACTGACGCACAGGTCCAGACGATGGCAGGCGACGAGGCGGTGACGGGGCGGCGACGGCGGCAGCAAAGCCGCCAGACCGACGCACAGGCCGAGTTCCCCAGAAGAGAAGTACGAGCCCGTAAGTGCAAGCAGTCTTTGGGGAACGTACATATACGCATGTATGACATTCGTACCCTGAAGCTCATCCACGAGTCAGAAGAAAGCTCGACTGGTGCATGTGAACGACAACCAGGGCCTGCGCAAATCTCCTGGCATTGCAAAGTTGATGATGGTCAAGGACCAACTGGGCAGACAGTGGAGACAATTGAGGGAGCGACCCACATCGACCTGAACACATGATAACGAGCACGAGACGTTCGTCAAAAACAACATCGACAGAAAGAGAGAGAGAGAGAGAGAGAACAAAACACAGAGAGAGCGACAGATAACAAAAAACAAGAGCACCGTCAACAAACATAGGGGCGCCCCAGGCAGCTTGTCCAACGCAAGCTCGCGGGGTCCTGCTTGTCGCTTCCAGCACGCCCGCCAGCCCGCAGAGGCCCTCGAGCGTGTCCGGGTGGTTGCGCCCGAAGGCGGCGTCGCACCCCACGATCGCCCTCGGCTGTTCAAGACGCAGGAGAAGAGGGAGGAGGAGAAGGAGGAGGAGGAGGAGGAAGAGAAGGAAGGGGAGGAACAGGGGGAGGAAGAGGAGGAGGAGAAGGAGGATGAGCATCAGTAGTTTTCAGAGGAGGAATAGGACTTGGAAGAAGAGGAGGAGGAGGAGGAGGAGGAGGAGGAGGAGGATAACGGGGAGGAGGAGGGGGAGGAGCAGCAGCAGAAAGAGGAACGATGGGGGTTCTCGCCTTTTCGCTTCCGAAGGGGTTTGAAGGCGTCCAGATGGCTCCAAGATGGCCCAACGACGGCCCCAAGAGCGCTGAAGAGCGTGCCGAGAGGGATCAAAAGGGACGACTTTTGGGGCTCAACAGCAGAAAAAAATGATCGAGGCCTTCCAAGGTGGCCCCAAGAGACTCCGTGGGGCTTCCTACGAGGTTTCCAAAGAGCTCCCCGAGCAAATGTACGCAAATCCATGTATGCTTGAACCGTCGTCGTCGTCGTCGCCGCCGCCGCCGCCGTCGTCGTCGTCGTCGTCGTCGCCGTCGTCGTCGTCGTCGTCGTCGTCGTCGTCGTCGTCGTCGTCGTCGTCGTCGTCGTCATCGTCACCGTCGCCTTCTGTTCTTTCCTTTTCCTCCTCCTCCTCCTCCTTTTCTTCATCATCCTCCTCTGAGCCTCTTCTTCCTTCTCCTCCTCCACCCTCCTCCTCCTGCTCCTCATATTCCTCCTCTTCGCCTCCTCCTCTTCCTTTTTCTGCTCCTCATGTTCCCTCTCCTCTTCCTTCCCGTCATCCAATCGAGAGTGACCCAGAAATTGCGTGAGAACGTGTTCAATCATGCTCATCCTTTTTCTGCTCACCTTCCTCCTCGTCATGTTCTTCCCGTTCGCTCCTCCTCCTTCCTTCTCCTTTTCCTCCTCTTCTTCCTCCTCCTCCTAATGTTCCTCTTCCTCTTCCTCGTCCTCCTCCCGCCTCCCCATCCTTCTCCTCCGCCCGTCCTCGTTCGACCGCGAAAACACGCATGTTTCACTCCGCGGCGTGCCCAGGCTGATCCGAAACTTCCGTTCGACGGCTTCCGTAGCTCTTTGTTCTGCATTTGTTCCGCTGCATACTCTCCAATATCCCTGGCCAACGCAATTTGCCAGGGCATCGTTGCTGCGGCCTGGTGGGGACACGTGAACTGTTAAGGCTTCACAAGCGCCAAGACCGCACTTCTATCAAACCAGCCGCTTGCAGAACTGTCATTGAACGTAACTACCCAGTGACGTACTCAACCGTTTCTGAACATGTGGCGAACATATGTAGGACCGCCCACTACAAACAGACACGCTGCAGGACTCGCAATGCGCATGAGCTCCCAAAAATATACCAAATCAGCGCGCAGGGCTGCCAACGTAGGGGCGGGGACAGAAGCATGCGCAGGATTGTGAACGGGGGACACACGTGTTCAGTTACCGTAGCAGCGCCGAGCGCTACACACGCGGGGCAGAAACGCTCTGAAGCAAAACAGCGCGTCGCGCTGAGCGAGGCAAGCGCACGGGGTGGCATGGCGGGCCAGAGGCAGCAGAGGATGGGAGGCCATGCGGACAAAAGACAGCGCCATGCGCTGCGTGGCGCAGCGGCTCCCTGCTCCCTGCGATGCGACAGCGCCGAACGCTGCGTGACAGGACAACGCCGCGCGCCATAAGAACGTCTGCCACTTTGGGTGAGAGCAATCGCCGTCAGTTGCGATTCTCGTCGCCGCCCGCGCCAATAAAGCGCTGTCGACAACTACCGCGAACTCGCCTGACACAGGTGTTTCCGTCAGTCGTGCGGGAACTGCTCCATGCCGAGCTCGCACGCCAACATCTCTGCCGCGAGGAGGCCAGGGAGCCGCGAGGGTTCGACATGATCCCCGTACCACTCCACTCCGCTGGACCTCCCAGGAGACCACGAACGTGGCGACAGTTTCACATATTGCAGCCCCCCAGGGAGCCGCGAGGTCTCAACTGGGTCCCCGTACCACTCTACCCCGCTGGACCTCCCAGGAGCCCACGAAAGTGGCGACGGTTGCACACTTCGCAGCACCCAGGGGGGCCGCGAGGAGCCCACGAAGGTGACGACAACTGCACACTTCGCAGCCCCCCAAGAAGCCGCGAGGTCTCAACCGGGTCCCCGTACCACTCCACTCCGCTGGACCTCCCAGGAGCCCACGACAGGAGGGTCGGGTCGGGCGGGCGGGGCCCTGACGGGCGGGTCGTGTCGGGCGGGCGGGACGCTAAAAGTATGATGCGTGCTCGAGCTGGCACGCGCGCGCGCGCGCCAGGCGGCCGTGCTGGCGTGACGTGAGAGTCGGGTGCATGATCGAGTTGGCAGGCGCGCAGCGCAGGCGGCTTGGCGCGGTGCCCCAGCGGGCGGGGTCGGGTCGGGCGGGCCCTACCGGGCAGGTCGGGTCGGGTGGTCGGGCGGGTGGCCCCTCGCGTGCGGGTCGGGTCGGGCGGGCGGGCCCTTCCGGGCGGGTCGGGTCGGGTCCGGAGGGCGGGGTGTATGACACATGCGCGAGGGGCGGGCGAGCCTGGTGGGCCCTAACGAGCAGGTCGGGTCGGGCGGGCGGGACATGAAAGTACCCGCCATCGCTCGGACGTCCATTCCCTGTGCATCTTCGGTTTCGTGCGTGATATTTCGCAGGGTGAACACAAATGCTCCTCGATGGTCCTCGCCGAGGAAGATTGCACAGGTCCGAGCGATGCCGAGAGCGTGGTGCATCATCGAGCTGGCACGCGTGCAGGGCGGGCGGGCCGGGCCGCGCGGACCCTGACAGACTTCAGGCGTGGCCGGGCCGGGGGGGGGGGGAGCCGGACGGCCAGCCCCCGCTGCCCCGCCTCTCCCGGCCCCAGGCCGCGCGTCCCTGGGGCGCCGGAGCGAGCCTCCAGAGCCCAGAGGGTACCCCAAAGGTAAGACCTGTGCCCCCTTTGCGCTCGAGAGGCTGGGGCGACCCTCGATCGTCGACGACGACGGCGTTGGTGGTGGCGGCCACGGCGATCGACGACGACAGCGAAAGCGACTACGACGGCGAACGACGACGGCGATCGACGACGACGGTGACGGCGACCGACAAAGCGATCGGCCACGGGGATCGACGACGACGGCGACGGCGTCGGCGAACGACGACGGCGACGGCGGCGGCGGCGGCGACGTTGGCAACGGCGATCGACGGCAACCTCCACGACGATGACGACTGCGACGGGGAGGAGGAGGAGGAGGAGGAGGAGGAGGAGGAGGAGGAGGAGGAGGAGGAGGAGGAGGAGGAGGAGGAGGAGGAGGAGGAGGAGG